TATAAAGTGGTGTGAAGGGCATGACTCATTCCAAAGACTTTTGCTATCTTGTATTTTACCAAGGACACTTGAAAAGAGATAGTATACTAACTTATTAATGCAAGTCCCATTTTCCTAATATAATCAGTTCCTTCGGGGACTGCTGGTGATCTGCTGCTGCTTAAGCAATTTGCACCTGGTGCTGGAGCTTTTTTAAAGGGGCAGGATGGCTTTCCTTTGCTTCACCATCTATTTCCTGTCATTTCTCTCCATGGGGGCTCAGGAAATAATTGCTTCCCCGATTTTTCAGTCTCATCTGGATTTCGAGAAGGATAAAAGAAGAAAAGCAGCAAATAAAACTGCAAAGGCTTGTTCAGGCTTTCCAGTCAGGTGAGGTGTTGTGTATAAAAGCTCAGGATTCATCCTTCCTGAAAAAGTTTTTTGCTTTTTGAAGTCAGCTTTTTATCAGAAGACACAAGACAGCTAATAACTTATAAACTGTGGCAATGTACCAGTTAAAACGGGAAAGGATATTTAGTTGTTTTTGCTGAAATTGTTACCCTTGTTATTTGTTTGTTTTGATGTGCAGCATTCCTGCTTCAGCAGTGTGGGACTCCACGTGTTTCTTGTAGTTACCAGGAGGCAACAGCTTGCTGGTTTGCATGAGCAGACTATAAGGAGCTGCAGACTGACAGGCAGAATCCCTTTCCTTTTTAGTAAAAGCTTAGCACTTTGGCCATTTGATTTATTTCATTCCCTTGTGAAAATATAGCGTGTGTGTCCCTTTAGAATTGCCTTATCTTCTGAGGCTATTAGGCTGGGTTTTTAGTAGAAGATCAGCAGGCTGTGCTAGTGAAGGCAGTTCAAGTGTAAAGGCAACAGACTTGATATTATTATTCACTGTTCAGTGTTTACGTAACTGAGCCCATGTTGGCTGGGAGCTTCTCTTTGTTCTTGGTTGTTCTAAGAAATGGTCCCATGCAACTGATTTCTCAGTTATGTTCCTGGGATTGGATCCATGAAGTAGCCTTAGTGCTGGGAATGAGACTGAGGTCAGGCCAGGGATCAGAAGAAGCTGCTGGGGTCAGTGGCAATTGGCCAGGAAGGACAGTGGGAGCACTGGAGTCTTGAGCATCTGGCTTCAAACTGGAGTAAAGTAGTTTGGTTTAACCCCAGTCTTGGAACTCAGGATCTTCATTATCTATATCAAGTTTCAAATATTATAGGGGAATGGCTTCTTTTAAACCATTCAGTGTGTTTCTTTTACGTGGCTAGGTTGTTGTCCTGTGCACTGGGTAACACGCAATGATTGTTGCTGCTCTTGCTGGCACAGTAGCATTTGCAAAATTCACATGGGCTGCATCTTGCAAAAACTAACGTGTCTCTGTGGTATGCATGTCTGTGCTATGCTGGAATAAAATAATTAAGCATCCATTGAGGAGAGATCAGAGCTCTGACTGTACTTCCTCTCTGCTTGCACTTGACTATCTGTGTTTTAGCAAAGGGCTGTCAGCAAAATTAGTAGGATATGGCTTGTGTTGGGCTGCTGTGCCTCATGTAATTCTCAGAATACAGGACAGATACATTATCCAGCAAAACAGTCATCCCCAAATTCCTTGGCCTTTTGTTAGAACTGCAGTTGTGGTAGAATTAGGGTGTTTAATTTGGGTGGATATATGCAAAATGACACTTATTGCAGACTGGAAAAAAATAGAGAAAGGGCACACGGTCATGGCTTGCAGACAAGAGGCTTTTTAATGACATTCTTACTTGAAGCTTTTGCTCTAAGTGTTATTTCCTTTCAACTTTAAAGTTATCTGCATTACTGGTAGGTAAGTAACATTCAAGTGAACTTTCTGCTTTCATGTCATAGCCTTAGGGATGTCCATTCTAGGTGAGAGAGCAGGAATGAGAGAGATCACATTGGTGCAGCAGAGAGCTTTGTGAAGAGCCTTGTGTCTGCCCCTTCAGCAATCGCCTGCAGATCAGCACAGAATCCCTTTCTAATTCCAGGGTGTGAATTTGAGGTGAGTGGCACTGTACAGATGCTCCTGTGTTGATGGTGAGCTGCAGATTAGCAAAGTGTAGAGGAGCCTTCGTTAACTTCCCCTTTTTGTGGGGTGAATATTGCCCCCACAAAAAAGTGTTCAGCATTTCAGATGGAGAAATGGTCAGAAAGGAAACCACCTTTACTGTGAAGGTTGGATGCAAGTTTTCACCTTGGGGATTTTGTCAGTCAGTTCTCCTGCAGACTTTAATACAAATCTGCATGACTAACTTGTGTTCTGTATGAAGCTGCACAGTGCTTTCCTCTTCTACTGCTTCAGTGGCTCCAATTCATTGTTGGAAAACTGAGTTATATCTTGTGACCACCTGTCTGCCTTCCTTCATGGAAGATGCTCCTGTTGCCTTTGTGGTGCATGCAGCAACAAGCAAAGCTGTGACATGCTGGGAAATGTGATCCCCAGTTGGTACTGCCTTATCAATCCTAATATCAGCATGTCTTTGGTATAAGACAGGGTGTGCCTTGTTCCCCTGTGAATCATCCATTACTCAGACACATGTTGCTGTGTGTGAGCTGCTTTGTGGAAGTCATATATTGTAAAATCCAGCTTGCCCAAGGTACTGCTGCTTTTTCTGTGTGATTTAAAAGCAGTTTACTTCAAATGGGAACAGGAGAATAGATCAGATCAATCTGAGCAGTACTCTTTTTTTGCCAAAGCAAGTTAAAGAAAGCTTTTATGAGACTATATATTCAGAAAGCTGAGGATTTGTATTCATTTTAAACTTCTAACCTCATTGAAACTTGAGTGTGTGTGGACGTGGTGATGTGCTGCTGAAGCTCGCTGTTCACTTGGTGCATTACCCTGCCCACAGCAGCCCTGGCACTGTGCAGAGCCCAGTGACACCAATCGCTGCAGGCAGGGAAATGCCTCAAGGGGCAGAGAGGGAGGCCGGGTTACTGCCCTGACCTGTGCTGGGTGATGCTGACATCCTGCTGCAGGCAATAGCCGGGCAAGGAGGCTGTGATGTACTGGAAATGTGAACCATTGCACTGGGAGCTACATTGGAGAGCTGCTGCACTAATGCTTTGTTATTCAGACACCAGAATCCATGTGGTTTTCTTCTTTGTATTTTTTCTCCTTATTTGGAAATCTAAAAATGGGAAACTTTTTCCCGTGTGTCAGAAGACTTTTTTTTTTTCTGCTGAGTAGGCCATACTATTTTTAGATGTGCTGATTTTATGTCTGAATAGAGTCTTTTTATTTAAAAATGCAGCTTGACTGTTTTTGGCTCGCTGGATGTGTGTATGCTGGGTGGTTTCCAACACCACGAGCAACCAAACAGTACATTACCTGCAACAGATCAGCTTTTCTTTGCTTTGAAAGATGAACTTTAACAGCCCAACAGTGAAATTTCTCTTTGCTTGTGAAGGCACTTCTGATTTAGTGGGAGGCGTATGTAGCCTTCAGGGTCCAAAGTTCCTCTGCAAGGTTAGCTTTAAAATCCTGTGTGCTGCAGTTCCTGGTATGCATGGCAAGTTGGGGGGAGTGAGTCAGTATTTGCTGGCCTTCTTCATTTTCTTTCAGAACTGAAAGCTTTATTCTGCATTGATGGTTATAGAAGCATCAAACTATGGAATTCTTACTTGAGATTTCCTTTAGGAACTAAAGGCTAAGACGGATTGCAAAAATGGTTTTCATATTACTTGAGTCTGCAAAGGGTGGGTTGCCTATCCCAAGTTCAGCAGTACGTAGTGCTGATCTCTGCATGAAGTGTATGTTTCTTTTTGGTGTTTAACTCACTTCCATTAGGTACTGTATTTTGACTTTCCTTGTTTAGTGCAGGTTACTGTTGGTCAATTTGACACCAGACTGTTTTTGCAGGAGTGAACTCAGTGGTCCTTATTGGGTCCCTTCCAACTTGAGATACTCTGTTGATTCGATAACCTGTTAGCAGGTCACAGAGAAGATGGTTTTTGTAGTTCTTAAAACATTTCTCTTGAAAGTGCTTTTCATTTCAGATGAGGTCCTGTTTAAGCACCTGATCCTGTCTTTAGAATAGCACTTCTGGTCCTGCACTGATGTGCACAGTTACTGTCAGCAGTAGAAACTGTGTAGGTGTTTGGGAACGTGAGCAACCTGTGAAGCTCTTCTTGCCTGGGAAAGCCCAACCTGTTACTATAGCTGTTGCCTAGTGCTTTGCTGTAGTGTTGACAGAGATTTCTGGGTTATTAAAGTAACTGCTGCCCTGTGTTGCCTAAGGTCTGCCAGGTTTGTATTCCATTGCTGAGAATTATAGAGGTACTGTTGTAGTGCTCCTTGCTTTTGCTGACTGTGTTGATGCAACTACCCATCAGTATAAAGAAACTGCAGTCTCTGTTAGGTCTTTTGTACTTCTATGCAGGCTGTTGCCGAAATTCGGTGTGTTCCTTGCTTTGCACGTTTTGGAATCTGTGTTGCTCCAGTCTTTTGTAATGCTTCCAGCAGCTGGATAGGTTTGGTACAGTAAATTTAGTAGTCTTTTTTTAATTGGTAATCTTGTCAGTTTTTGTATTTGGTTATGGATAGGTACATCATTTATCATAGTACATTCTGGCAGTGCAGTGGGTAGAGCTCTGTAGCTGTTCTCTTGCTTTCCATGTGTGAGTGGTGCCAGTCCTGCACCACACCTGGCTGGTGGCCCACAGGCAAGGGGGATTTTTCTATATGCTTCTACAGCTCACATTATTTGTATGGAAATATGCTGGATTGACCTACTGATGGCTGAGCAGGCAGGAACAATCACTTCAGTATTTTTCTCCTAAGCATTGATAAACTGAATGATGTACTTGGTGTTCAGTAGTGTAATTCCACTCGAGTACAACTCGGCAATGTTTTGTAATAGTAAGCATTGCTTTACCTCTCAAAAATGCTTTCAGTGAATCCACATCTAAAATGATCACATTTCCCTTCTTTTTCTTAAAAGACTTATCTTTGTGATATTAAATATTATAACCTAAGCTTTTCTTGCCTTAACAGGTATACGAAGCTCGGATATGCCGGTAACACTGAGCCACAGTTTATTATTCCTTCCTGTAAGTATTTGTTACTCGTGTTTAAATACTGATGTTATACTTAACAGTTCAGTGATTTTTTTACAATGGCATCTGCATACAAAGGAGCAGTTAGTAACGAGCAAATTGTCATTGCTCAGAGGTCTTTTCAGATCTTTTGCTTTTTGTAACCGATTCTCAATTTAAGAAGGTAAATTCATTAAAATAGTGTAGTAATATGATTTCAGTCTCTTAGGAAGTTGAATTCAAATGTGAAACACTAGCACAGCTATATTTGTTGTTAGCAGGTTCTTCCTCTGCTGATAAATCAGAAAACACTTCAGGTGATCGTAACCAGTGAAAAAATAATTATAAAAAAATACAGTATTTTAATCTGTGGGGTTTTAGCTGTTACACTTTCCAGGTATATCTCAGTACCACAGCTGTGCTAGTTCATTCATTATTTTGCAGATGTAGAAGTAATTTTACTTATTTTATGTAAAACTGCTTATTTACTCACTGTTTTCTGAAATGCTTCTGCCACTTGAAGGGATGTGGCTCCAGTCTGGAGAGTGGAGCTCAGTCAGTTTTCTTTAGAAATGCTTCATGTAAGTGAAAGAAGTGACCTTCTACACTACTTGGCATTTTGTTGTTGTTCACCTCAGCCAAAGTACTCAAGTATTACATCCTGATCAAAAAAATAATCAGTGCACCCAATTTTCCTTGTAAATACAACAGGAAAGGTGCTGGAAGTAACAACACTTAAGTGCAGTCAGTTCAGAAAAGAAATTCTGGTAGGTCAGGCTCTCTGGGTGGGTACAAAACACGCTTCCAAAAGTGGTTTTCACAGAAAGATTTTCTTCACATTAGAGAAATTGAAAATAGAGTATAACAGCAATTAACTTCAAATGTTACAAAATGCTGGATCTTGTCAAGGTGCTCTGATGTTGTTTTCTTAATATAATTCAGTTAAGATGTGTTTTGGTTTCATCTTTGATTTCCAGGAATGGCCATGTGGTCATTTTGTTTTTCTTCTCAAAAACTTCTTGCTGTGGAACCAGTCGGAGCAGCATTCCTTCACCCTTGCTCACTTGCTGCTTATCTTACTCACTCCTGTTCTTAACAAAGTTTTATCTCGCTCTTTTATATCGTGGTCTTGGCTTAGTTCTGAATATGCTTCTGTAGAGATGACAAATGCTTGCATAAAAAGTGAAGTAAGTGGGAATGCAATGGGTCAGTTCTTTGAGGAAACTTGTTCAGTGTTTTCATTGCTGTCTGCTTTTAAGATCTAGCAGATTATTTGTCTTGCTTGATTTTTCTTTCATTTCATCCTGTTATCCTGACCTGTTTTAAAATAGTCAGCTTTCAGTAAGCCAGGAGTTCTCCAAATTTATTATACATTTGAAATTGTCTATGATAATTGACGTACTAGATGACTCCTTCTTTATATTAAAAAGGGGGGAAATAACTGAATAGTAGCTAAACATGAAAATTATTTTTTTTCCTGAATGTTCATATTATTGTGCCAAGCCAGCCAGTGCCAAAGGCCCTACAGTAATGTTGGAGTGCTGCCTACCTTCAGCACCGTTAAAGCAAGGCTTATGTTCCTGTTTGTGTTTTCATGCTGTAGTTCTTGATTCTGGTTATTAACTTCTCACTTCTGACTTGCACAACCAGCACTGACCAGCTGTGTGTTGAGATCTCTCAGACTGTAGCAGGGTGAAGCCCGTGGGATGTGAAAGCTTTCAGAATGCTGTGGCAAGTGCTGATGACTTACTTGAAACCACGTGAAGTTAACATACATCTGGACAGCAAAGCTGTCCCCGAGTCTGCAAGCCCTGAAAAATATTTGGCAAGATGCTGTTTTTGCTTGCAGCAAACACTGGCCTTGCAAAATCTCCTGCACAAATTCAGCTTCTATTTACCTACCCCTCTGCTTTTTGGCTCCCACCGTCTTGCTTCCTCTTTCCTCTCCTGTAAGCTGCTACAGAAGTTGTGGTATGATGCAGTTTTTCCTCCTGAGGAGCTCAAAATAATGCTTTTTGTCATATTTTGTTCAGTTTTCTGCAACACTTCAGTTTCACTGGCTGCACAGCTCTTCTGTTGCTGCACAGAAGGGAGGAAAGGGGAGAAGAATGTGGCTTCCCAGTGCACTGGGGTGCATTAGCCTCACGTGCTACACGTTTCCAAATCCTGTAGCTGTGTGACCTCAGGCTCTGTGAGCTTGTCTTGGTTCTGATCAAACAGCACTTAGGTGAAGGTGAGGATTGAAATAGTTTTGCATTTGAGAGAGTTTTCAGAGGACAACTTTTAAGTAAAGGGGCTGACGTTAATGCTTGGCTCTTATTTCTGCAAATTTCCCACTTGTATTTTAATGCTTGGAAAAAATACAGTAGGTTTTGCTGGCGCTGTGACCCTGGTAGTCTGGGAGTTGATGTAAAAGAGGAGAGAAAAAGTCATCTGTGTTCTTGTGGTATTTCATCACTGATCTATCTTCCCTAGGTCCCATGTTTAGTCTTAGCAGTCTTTCTGTTTTTTTTTTTTTTTTTTCTTTATTTGCAATGAGTAATTATTGTGGAAGAATAAATTACCAAGGTGCTGTCTCTTAACTTTTGCCAGTTATTCCTTGAAGTGAAAGATTTATAGTATAAATTATTAGTGTATCAGCTTTTCTGTGCTTATGCCAGAGCCAAAGATGAATATAATTGCAGTATTTTCCTATTTCACAATACTAAGATTCCTTTTTTTCTCAGTGCTGAATGTATAATCTAAGATACCATTTGTTTTCTTTGTTAAAGGTATTGCTATCAAAGAATCAGCAAAAGTGGTTGATCAGGCACAACGAAGGGTTTTGAAAGGTGTTGATGATTTAGACTTCTTTATTGGAGATGAAGCAATAGAAAAACCAACTTATGCAACCAAGGTACTGAATGACATTTGGATTTTCCACTACTCTTAGAAATCGCCAAGCGTACAATAAAAAGCTTGGAAATGCTTTTTGAATTGTAATCTTATTTTCTTATAAACTATTGTAAACATTTGATATTAGATCAGTTTTGCTGACCTTCAGGAGTCTGTGGGAACTTGGGGAGGGACCTCACAGTATTTCATAGCAACGAATTTCTTTTGAATTGATGAGTGGCTGAGAGACTGTTAGGAGGAGATAGAACATCTCAAGGAACAAGAAAGAATCTATCAGCCATTCAGAATCAGGATACTGGCCCATGGTTTGTCCTTGTACCACTATTCCTGGTACCACCATTCTGTTGTACTGAGAAACACTTAACATATTGTTTTTTCAAGATCAGAATTTCAAATAGATGTCAGGTTGAGATAGGGACAACCTAATGCAGGGTTTTTAGGTGTTGATAATGTACCTCTAATGCAATTGAAAACAATGTTTTTTAAGTTTGTTTTCAGTTACACTTTGTTATTGTTCTGTAACAGTGGCCCATCCGCCATGGTATAGTTGAAGACTGGGACCTGATGGAAAGGTTTATGGAGCAAGTAATCTTTAAGTATTTAAGGGCAGAACCCGAGGACCATTATTTTCTTTTGGTAGGTAAAATGATTTCGTGCCTATGAAATGGTATATGACAAGGGTTTTGTGCTGATTTGTGGAACAATTCTCAAATATGAATGTGCTTATCTTGAAAAATAAAGGAAATATAAATTACACAAAATTTCCTAGCTTGGCTTATCGCATTCACATTTCTTTAACTTTCTGAAAATGCTGAAGGCCATTGAGTCTCAACTGCAAGCTTTCTTTCACACCAACGCACTTCTGTCTTCTCCCTCTATTATGTATGCACTGAACTCAGCAGTGGTGCTTGCGTTGAGCATCTCTAGGTTTTGACTGCATATAATTGCAAGAATTTTGTTTTTATAGTACTGCCACCTGGATAGTGTATCTAGGGTGAAATTTCGTGTCATTTCTTTATGAAATTCTGAAGGATTGATTGTGGTACACGGACATATCAGGTTTGAATTGAGGTCAGATATTCTGAAGCCTCTCCTGTTCCTTAGCATTTCATTTAAAGCCATTGAAATAACAGTACTTTTAAGTTTGAATTTTGTATCACAAGTTTGGAGCTGAGTGCATTGGTTGTTCTTGTAGAAACTCTAACACAATTGCACTCTTGAAGATGTAATTAGATCTAGTTGCTCAGGGCCCTTCATCCAAGCTTTGATTGTCTTCAGGGGTTGAGGTGCCATAATGTGGGCTCTTCTCCCACTACTTCACCAACCCTCACACTGCCTTTTTTTTCCCCTCCTGATAAATAGTTTCCCATGTGGCTGTTGGTCTCCGTGACCTCATGTTGTGCCACCTTTATGAAGAGTCTGACTCCTTCCTCTCTTTACCCTTCTGTGGTTGATGCAACAAAAGATAGATGCTTTTTCTCAGAGTACTGTTCAAAATGCTCTTTTAGAGGAGAGGGCTGCTGATATGCATGGTACTTTTACAAAATCTACAGTATGTTATAGTGTTGTGTGCTGTTGTCAGTTGCTCTGTTAAGCACATTTCAGCTATAAACTTTTGTTCTATAATCATTGCCCGTTGAAGAAAAATAGCTTTTTTTCTTCAGTGAATTTCTGATTTTTCTTTTTAACTTTGTGTACTGACGCCTTGCATTTGACATATTTAGGTTTATAGTCTTAGATTCTTTGAGAAAGCATGTATTATAATAAGCTGACCAAGCCATAAATGGGACCACCGATGTAAATTCTTAAACAGTAATTATTTTAATGTTTCTCATTTCTGCTTTTTCTGTTCGCATTCAAATCATTGTGCTTTTACAGTGTGACTTGTAATAATTCTGTTCGTGTCATGGGTGTTCCTTGGTTTTCTTCATTACACCATTTGCATTTAACAGCACCCTTTGCACTTGACTATTTTTACATGCTGTTCTTGAATGACTCATCTTTCAAAACTTAGCTCTAGGTGATTTTTGAGAGAAGTTGAAGTGTTTAATTTGAATGCAAGTAAAATGTCTTTCTTTATTTCATAGACTGAACCTCCATTAAATACTCCAGAAAATAGGGAATATACTGCTGAAATCATGTTTGAGTCTTTCAATGTTCCAGGACTATATATTGCTGTTCAGGTAAGAGCAGAGCTATTTGAAATCTTGAGTGACTCTTGGAGCATTCTTATGTGCTTTTGGTCACCATTTCCACTGCTAGATGTTTATCTAGGTATGTTACTCAGCTCTAGGTATAGAGTAAGAGCTCTTACTGCACAAACAAAGGTCCCTACAATTGTGGTAGTAGGCTAAATCCTGTGTCCCTTTCAAGATGAAGTAGCTAAAATGGTCTTTATTTGGGACATGCTTAAAAAGCATCAGAAGGCAAAAGAAGGCGAAAGCTATGCTTCTGCAGTTGTTTGTTTGAAAGCTATTGTATACACACATTACAAAATTAGTTTTCCTTACCACAAGAGAATTTCAAACACTTTTCACTAGCAACTGCTAAGATGGAGTTTCCGTCAACGGGAAAAAATTGAAAGCAGACTAATGGAACTTGTTTGGTAAACAAGATTTCAGACGAAGGTTTTTCCTGTTGAAACACATGCTAAAATACTTCAGGCTGTCCTAAGAAGGCACTTATTTTGTTTCAGTGGATTTTAGATATGAAAGGGTAATGTAATTCTGGGAGATGTTTGTTCATAACCTGCAGAACAGCCAAGAATCACACTTGAACTGGAAATTTGTAACTTGGAGATAAGAGGAAGAAAGTACTTTTTAATGTAAAATAAAACATTTTCAAATGCCTGGAATGCTCATTAGCTGGGGCTTATCAGAAGGCAAGCTGTGACATCTGCAGTGCAGTGTTTTTACTAAGAATCACTTTCTGTGTTCTCTTTTTACAAGGCTGTCCTCGCCTTAGCTGCATCTTGGACGTCAAGGCAAGTAGGAGAACGGACACTGACTGGCACAGTTATAGACAGTGGTGATGGTGTCACTCATGTCATTCCTGTGGTAAGTATACTTAAAGGCTATGGAAACAGCAGGAGAGCAGTTTGTCCTTTAACTTCTCTGAAGTTTTTATTCATACAGGCTCAATATGGCTAGGAATCGTGAGAAGTGTCAGACAGTTCCCAGGGTTGGAGGTGTGGGTTTTTGTTGCTTATTTTGTGCCACAGGAACACTTGGAAGAATTTTTCCCCACTCTGAACTAGTCAGAGTGTATTTTTTTCAATTGACTGATCCTGAAAGATAACTTGTAACTGATCAGTGAAACGACATTGCCTTATCATATTTGCAGACTCTTCTTCTCATAAGAGTCAGTGTACTCTTTGCAATAGTCAGACCAAAAAGTTTGGAAGCTGCTGTTTAATTCTGTCAGCTTATAATAAAATGTTACATCTGCCCTTAAGTATTTCATATTGTTTCCAGTTTTTCTCCCTCTGTGTCATTTCCTACCTGAATAATAATAAAAAAAAAGATAATGTTGAATATCTGTTTCAATATATTGTTTTCAAAACCAGAAATTAGTGTGATCATTTACTTTAACATATATATCTGTAGTTTAACTGACAAATTATTGTTCTTATGGTAAGTGTGTGTTTCCTTTTGCAAAAGGAATTAGAAATTTTATAATGGCAGCATTCAATAGTTGTCTTTTATTTCCAGTGCCCATCTTTCATTGAGGATGTAAATGTAGATCTGGGCACCAGGAACATTTTTGTTAGAAAAATGGAGCTAGATTGTATAGATTTTAGTCTGTAAAAATTCTAAAGCATTATCATGCTGCAGTAACCTGAGGTGGTTTTTTATTTGTTATACCAAAATATAGTTTAGACTATGATTAAGATTATGCTGTAATGCAGAAATTTCTTAATGATTCTTATTCTCACGGTGGTAAAGTATGAGATGGCATGTTTTTAATAAGCCTTAGAAAACAATTTGGGATTTCAAAGCTTGTTTAGCTGTTTTTTAACGTTGTACTGACAATAGTATGAATTTACATTGAACTTTTCATGTGTTGCGGAGTTTTTTGAGTGCTTCTGGTTTCTGCATTTAGACTGGATATTTTCAGTGTCCCAGTACTGTCCTCTAGGATGAGTATGACTTGTAAGGGTAGACTGATGGATGAGTTTGTGCCAGCCTGATGCTATAAGCCATCTCAGTTAATGGGCTCAAATGATGCGTTTTCCCTTTGCTCACAGAAAATTAATCTTGGTTCATGTGAGTTGTTTCGTGACTGTGACTATGCAGCCACATCATTTATTCTAAAGAAATACTGCATGCTATTTGGCTCCTTGACCTTTTTGGTAAGAGTACCCTCATTTTAAAGAGAAAATAAATGTCAAGGAATAGTGAGTATAGCAATCTGTCTGTCTTATGTGTCAGTGACCTTTCTTTTCCTTCTAACCTTTTAATAATTATGAACTAAATGCAAAGCAAAACACTTCACCGAGTGATATAAGGCCTCCTGAGAAGTGGGCTTCAGGTATTTAAGAGCCAGCTTTTAAAGGCTTGAATCTCATGATCACAGGTAGTGAATAGGAGTTGACACTCTCTGACTCCCCCTCATTTCTAGTCTTTGTTGGAAGGAATGCTTATCAATGTCTTTCTCCCCATTAATTTTATTTACAGGCTGAAGGATACGTGATTGGCAGCTGTATCAAACACATTCCAATTGCAGGGCGAGATATAACATACTTCATTCAGCAGCTGCTGCGAGAGCGAGAAGTAGGAATTCCTCCTGAGCAATCCTTGGAAACAGCTAAAGCAGTGAAGGTAGTGTGAATTTTGCAAGTGTTAAAGCTGTTCTAGAGTTGAGTTTGATAGCAGTCGCTTAAAATCATTTCCTTCCACCTAACATTGCTGTTTCTAATGAATATAAAAATATCTACATAACAGTAAGCACATACATTTTAAGATGTGTTATTGAGTTATATTCTCTTTTGCCCAGGATTCAGTTTTCACGTGACCCTCCCCCTTTATTATTATTGTAATATTAGTAGAAAGTATTCTTAGTGGGATGTGTAATGTAAAGAGGTGTAATTACTCTTATTCTTGCTTAGTACTGATGTGTTCTTTTTTATAGTACAAAGCTATCTTGAAAGATATTCAGCTTCAAGTAGGCTTAAGCATTGTTTCTATGGCAATTTGGCAGTATACTTCAGAACTCATTTCTTAATGTTATAGAGATAGGGGGAGAAAGTAACTTAACCCAGCAGAATGTGCTGCTTTCAGTGCTACACAGAAATGATCTTTACTAGCAGAGCCATCATCAGACAGTATGCAGTAGATATCAGTTCAGTTTTTGAGGCAGATTCTGTATTTGCCAATTTCAAAGCTTTTAAGAAAGAGTTACTATTCTTCTAAAAGTATGCTTTTTTTTTTTTTAATGAATAGCAGAAAACACTGTATGACCTTGGAACTGTACATATTTACTTTTCAGGAACGTTTTAGTTACGTTTGCCCTGACTTAGTAAAAGAATTTAACAAGTATGACACAGATGGTACAAAGTGGATTAAACAGTATACTGGAATTAATGCTATCTCAAAGAAAGAATTTACCATTGATGTTGGCTATGAGAGATTCCTGGGACCAGAGATATTTTTCCATCCTGAGGTAAATTGATATGAATTGTCTTTACTTCATTCTAGGTGCGTTTTAGATGATTCCCTACAAATAGTATTTGTAAATTATTGAAATGCTTAAGCAAGTTTAACATTTCTCTTTGTTTCTAAAAAGATACCAGATGTTGGGTGTTGTTAATCTCTGTTCCTGTGTAGGGAAATCTTAAGCATAAAGCTATCCCCTGCACTGACTCCTTCCAATCAAAAAGTTGTTTTTTTGTCATGGTATTTTTCTTCAGTGCTTGTGATCTGGAAGGGCATGTATTCTTTGACCTGTTGTGATTAACAAAAGCTATTTAGGAGAATAGCTGACAGAACAGATACTTCAAGTTTAATATTCTTTCAAACTTCTTGAAAATGGCAGCAAATACAGCTAATGTATCTAGTCCATTAGTTTTTTTTCACTACAGCCCCAATGTAGTAGCATGGTTTGTTCTTTTTCCCCTTATTTTTGGCCTTTTTCTTTGCTGTATGTGGTTCTGCATGCTGACCTGGCTGTTTTTATTCTTGACTGTAGTTTGCTAATCCTGACTTTACGCAACCAATCTCAGAAGTAGTAGATGAAGTTATTCAGAATTGTCCCATTGATGTTAGACGTCCTCTGTATAAGGTCAGTAGCTGAAGTGATATTTTTCTGTAGTACTTGTTCTGGGAGGATGGGGGTTTGTGTTGAAATCTGTTGGAAGCCGGGATTAAGAAAGAAAGCATTTTAAAAGTAGAAAGTAAACCATTTTTCTGGAAAGCAGAAGGCTTTATGTTCACATAATTTTTTCAGAAGGGGATGTGTCATTGCTCAAGTGGAACTTTAATGAAATAAAGGAAATTATAATCTGAGCCAAAGAAGTGAGGTGTGCTAAATTATAAATGGATTTTAAATCACAGACAGTTCTAACAAGATAGCCTCTTTGAGAATTCATATTCTCTCATGCTTCAGGTGTTAAATAATTTAAAACCGGGTAAAAGCACACCTGGATGTTTGTAAATTTCTTTAAAAGAAAAAGCCAACAAAAAAGAAGTTAGGAAACTTGTAGAATTTAAGAACTGGATAAAACTGGAGATGTGTATTTTTAGAAATTTAATACAATTTAAAAATTAATGTATTCATTTTTTCTCTAAACAGAATATTGTCCTCTCTGGAGGCTCAACCATGTTCAGGGACTTTGGGCGCCGTTTACAGCGAGACTTGAAAAGAACTGTTGATGCCAGACTGAAACTTAGTGAAGAACTTAGTGGTGGCAGACTGAAGGTTAGTTCTTGTAGCTAATGCATTTAACAACAATCTCTCTCCTTAATTTGGGTTCCTTCTACTTTTGACCTCTGATCTGCTGTTTGCATTTTTTTCTGTTAACTCAGGATACATAAATAACACTAACAGGTTAAATTTTTTTTAAATTATTTTAAGGCAAGAATGAAGGGATTTTCTCATTCATTTTTAATGATTGAAATAACTAGACAAGTTCAAACAATACTATTTTTAAGTGCATCTTTGTAATATGCCATGTAGACAAATCTGAAGTTTGTTATGCAGTTTCCTAGCTCCAGTAATGTTCTCATCTCTATTTCTAAGACAGGCTTTAGGTTGTGATTCTGAGCACAGTTATGATTTTATTGGCTATGGCTACGTTTTTTAATCAATCTGCAAATAATATGTTGTTAAAATAATGACAAATTTAAAAACGTGTTTCTATAAAGTGTTTTTTTTTGGTTTTTTTTTTTTAAAGTAAGTAGTATGGGGTTTTTTTTTTTTTTTTTTTGCAATTGAAAAACAGTACTTTGAGGAAATTAAGCAGAAAACTGAAGGTGGATAATCAGACAGGAGGAACTGGAGCAGAGCTCTTAGGAGAAAACCAGCATGAATGCAAGTATCTTTTAATATCTGATAACATAAATAGCTCTTGCTACGAAATCACCACTTTGTTCTTAGTCCGAGTTGTACAACTGAAAAACTAATCATATATTTACATACCCAGCATTTAGGAAAATGGTAGTTTGTGAGAGGCAAACTCGGAATATACGGTCCTTTGAAATGATTGTTTTTTCTATGCTGAGAATTAAATATATTTAAATACATTCTTTTTTTTTTTTTTTTTCTTTTGCAGCCTAAGCCCATTGATGTACAAGTCATTACACACCATATGCAAAGATATGCAGTTTGGTTTGGAGGATCAATGCTGGCTTCCACAGTAAGTTAGCTATAAAGCTGAATATGTCTGAGCCCTGCGTGTGTTTTTGGAGTTCTTATCTCTCCTTTAGTTCATAATAAATGCAGTTGGGGATTTTCTGATGATTTTTGAGTAACAAATGTTACCTGTTGCACCTAGGCTTTTGCATTAGGCTTCAAAGATCTGAAAAAGCAAATGAAAGGCTTAGAAGTTTGCTTCTTTTCCCATTTGCTATATAAATGTTAGTATTGTTAAGCCGAGATATGAACACCACTGATCTTCTTTCTCTTCCTCCTTACAGCCTGAATTCTACCAAGTATGCCATACCAAAAAAGATTATGAAGAAATTGGTCCTAGCATCTGTCGTCACAACCCAGTGTTTGGAGTTATGTCTTAAAGCTGACCTTGCAGGGGTCAGGAATAGGGAGGAGGGGAGGAGTCTTTCTGATTACTTGTTTGTCTGATGGCCGGTATTAAGATAACAAACATGACTTGACAATAAGGAAAAGACCAAACACAATTAAATAAGGTTATTTTAATAAGTGTCTCAACATGCGGATGTAGTGGAAAGCCAAAATGATCACGTTTTTTCTTTAGATTGATTATTTGAATCTGTGCGTAACAAAGTGGATTTTAGTTCTTTCTGTGCCCTGATATTTTGTATATTAATGAATTATCCAAGATTTGATGGGATTTGACAGTGTATAGATAGTCAGCTCTCTAATGCTTCAGTTGTACCCTTTCATGGGTACAGAGCTGGAGTTTGTTTATATTTCTTACTTTTTTATACTTTGAGGGGAAAAAAAAAAAACGGATTAAAGAAACTGTAATATTTGAGGAAAAAAGAATTTACCAGTGACCATCTTGAAAAATAAATTAAAAAAAAGAAAAAGTCATAATGATTCCTGCAACTAGCTGTTGCATATCACAGCCAATCTAAATCCCGGGTTCCATGCAACGCGAGTGCTTTTGGAACTAAGAAGCTCCTATCTTGGATTAACCGATGCCTGCCTAGTGCTTTCTGATTACTCGGTGCGTTTTCATTCTATCTCTTGCTTAAACAAAAAAAAAAAAAAAAAAAAAAGAAAAGACAAGACTTGGACCAGTATTGCAGTTCTGTAGTGTCATTTCTAATTAAAACCAAATAATCAGGTTATCAAAATTGGTGTATTTAAAGCCTAACACCATTCCAATAAAGGCACAAAATTTCTTTTTATGTTTGTGTCAGACTTGTTAATGTCATTACATGGGAAGTTGTGAGCATGGGTTCCTACGTATCTGCTATGGTTTTTGAAGAGTAAGATTGGCTTGTAAGGTAGAAATCATTATGTGCATTGTATAAACTGAAGTGTGAACTTGCTAGAATGGCAGTTGATATGTTCATCTGGACAGCGCTTACCTATAGAAATCTGACGTCTTCTCCATCGTTAGGTTTGTTCATATACTTCATTCTGTAACGGTTTTGGTTTTTTTTTTTTTCCATTTCCTTTCAAGTGGTGGCATACAGGAGACAGTTCTGCCTTTGAAATCTCTGGTTTTTCTGCAAGAAAATACCATGTAGATAAAAAGTGAAGTGAAAACAGTATCTCTCTCATTCTTTCTAGGAAGAAGGCTTCATATACTGAGTGAAATTACTTGCAATTTCTGTTGATATTTGATAGAAAAATCTACTTTAGACACTCACGAATACAGTTGTTTACACAGAAGACCACAAGAGGGAGATGTATTGCTTTCTTCTGAACCGAAAAGACTTCTCAAGATCTCTTTTTTAACAGAGCTTTCAGTTATATCAAAACATGATAAATGAGGCTCCGAAATAAAAGTGAACATGGAAAGCTCTTTTTACAGTTAATATTATAAAAATTCACATGCTAGATTTGAATAGAACCTTGGTGCACACAACAAAGCTAAATAATTGTATTTACAAAACAATTATTAACCTTTCCTGATCAGGGATGCAGTTCTTTGTATACATAGCATTGAGAGTTTTCAGATAATGGCTTTTTGAGTCACAGCTGCTGACTAATTCATGTGGTAAGCCCTATAAGCAAATATATGTAAAATAAAGAGATTAATATAAGTTCTTTTCCAGTGATCCTCTGGTTCTCAACTGTATCATGCTTTAATGACTGGAACCCCACTGCAATCATTAGGCTTTCAATTCCTGAAGATAACACAATTATTTTTCCACTGAAATCAGGTCTTGAAAATTCACTCTGAGGAATCATTCATGCTACATAGATGCACACATAGAGTCCTCTTAAATATGGGTAAGACTGCCTGGTAATGTTGCATGGCAGGAAGGGGGACTAGCTGCCCCAGGTCTGGTGCTTTTGGGGGCCCTGTGTTTTTGTGGTTGAGCTTTTGGAAAATGATATGACTAATAAACATACCACATGGTTTGTTGTGTGCCCATCTCCCTCCAGAGCTGAAGAGGTGGGTATCCTGTGTGATTTGAAGGAAATGGCTGAAGAATGGTACTTGTGTTTTTGTTTTCAATACATAAACTTTATTTCTCTGCTCTTTAAGAAGTAAGTAGAAGGTATTTTATAGCTAGGGTATGTTTTCACTTCAGATAAAGCTCCCTCTGTGTTTTGTAGGAGTGCTGTGTAGTCCTGGCTTAGATGTGGATTCAGTTTTCCCTGTTACTACATCTCTAATGTAGAGGCACAGTAATGTTGGGCAATGGATAGCTTTGGCTGTGTTTTTGTACTTAAACCTCAGTTCACATATACAAGATCCAGAAAGCAGTGTGCTGTCAAATAAAAGCACACCTGAACTGAATCACTTTTCTAGTGAGGATGTGTCAGAAGACTGAATGCCAGCTTCTTTCACAGGAAGATGCGTATCTTGAGCTTGCACTTCTAGAATTATGTGCATATCTGTGTGCCCTCTTAGTGGAGGAACAGACCTAGCTGTATGTTAGCTGCAAATTGTGCTGCAGCTTGTCCTTTGTGCATTCATAGCCCTGGAGAGTGCAGCTCCATTAACTCCTGTAGTACGTGTTTATCTCCTGCTTTGTTTTGCTGTTACATTTAAGGTGTCTGCAGTTGTAGCTTGGAGGAGCCGGGACAGTGAGTGTGGAGGCACCACCAGTAAGAAGGTGGTGCACGAGGAGCCCAGAAGTTGGAACCTGGGGCAGTGGTTAAAGGAATGGGTCACTGCGGGGTTGGGATGGTCCTGGAGGGAAGCACAATGAGACTCCAGCAATTTTGGCTTTGGTACAGGTCCTTTACAGGCTGATGAGTGGAGTAGATTGGAAGCAATGCATGGCTTCCATAGCTGCTTCACTTTCATAGTTTTGGTGAAATATTTAAACGAGAGAAGCCTGTAAAAGGGAGGTTGACTTCAGGGCATGCAGTGCACCAGGAAGATGTGCCCACCCTTCAGGACTGTCTTCTGGCAGGCTGACTGGCACTGCATGTAGCAAAGGGGGTGGATGGTGGTGGGGTTGGTCTGCAAGTCATTGTCTGGGTTAGAGCAGAGGCATCCAAGCATGAGGAACCTGGCTTTGCTGGGTAGCAGGGGGATGGATGCAGTTCTCATGTAATGTGCTTTGGCAGCTGGGATCTAGCTAGAGAGGGGATGGGGAATAGGAGAGAGCAGGCTGTGCCTGTGAGGGATGGTGGCCCACAGTCTGGCAGTGTCAGGCATATCTGGGTGAGATTTCAGAAGTGCCTGTTCCCAGCAGCAGAGAGCCCTCGAGGGCTGGATGCTGGATTCTGTGTCTGGTTCAATAATAACTGGATTGGAAAGCAGCTGTCATGTCAAAGAATCAAGCCTGTTCATACACAAGCTCTTTGATGGAAGGAGGAGTTGACATTTGAGCTGTTAGGCTGCGAACACGAGTTGATGCAAAGAGTAAAATGGGTGGATTTTGCCTTCTAGTTGTACTTTCATTGGGAGAAGTACAGGTATGCTGAGTCTTTTAATCATAGATTTGGTACTTGGAGATGTAAGGCCAGGATATTTCCTGTCAACAGTGAATAAAAACCACTGGAGCAGCATGAGGCTGTGTGGCTTTCACCTCCTGCACCAAACTCTGGATCCTGGTCACAAGGGTAGATGTCTCGCGCTGCAAAGAGGAGCTGCATAGCCTTGGCCACTTCACTGTGGCTTACACAGCACAATTTCTTGTAGCTGTACTGTAAATAATGTTTAACTTGCCATACAATGAAACATGTGAGTCTTTCAGGATGTATTTTGTATTTGTTATCGATTACCTACGGTGGCTTTAGCTGCAAGGAGCTCTGAAGAGAAGCAGTGAGGGTTTTGCGTTTAGCCACGGGATGGCACCTTCCTACAAGAAATCCAGTGCAGCCAGGAAGGGCTTTCAGCACAGCCGGCTGGGAGCGAGTCTGGAGGAAGGAGCTGACAGAGTTCAGAAAGGGGTTGTAGCTTGCAGAGCTGGAGCTGTGCTTTGATGTTTCCACGCTGAGACGGAACTGAGCATCGGGACTGCGTTGGAGGGGATTTAATGTAAAGGGAGATAGTGTTTGTGGTGTGTGGGGAAACAACTGCAGGAATGGTCTGTGAAGAAAATGGTAGTGGGGCTGCAGCTGCCAGTGGGGGATGTGGCTGCTTTTGGACCCAGTGGCTGGAAATTAAGAGAAGATGGAAATTTAAACTGCACAGTAATTGGTCAGGAAGCTGCACAACAGAATTCTTAATTTTACCTCTGTCAGTAAGATATCTATTGATGCAGCCTCTTTCTGCTACTATCTTGTACCAACTCCTTTATTTGTGAAGTCATCCCCGTCATTTTGGCTCACTTGAGCTTCCGATACAATTTCCTCTTAAACCAAACCCACAGACAGCAGGATGTAATTCAGCTCACACTTGTGCTGCCCCAATCCTAAAAAGATCAATTGAAGGGTAGAAGCCTGTAATGAACCTATTTCAGGTGGTGGCTTCCTGACCAAGGGCTGACAAATATAGGTGATCTGAAGCACATTTCAGGATAGCTCTGGGCTGACTCGATTAGATACCTTCTGTTCTCAGGTATCTAATAAGCAACTGATGTAGCTGCAAATTAAGCAGGAATTATTATCTGCTGGATACCCAGCAGGGGAAGGGAGTGATGTGGGGGTGAAGCTCAAAGTGCACCCACTGAGGAGGGGAGCTCCTGTCTTCATATCCAGCTGCTTGCAGCTGCCAAACATTTGGCTAAAAGGATGCATGAAAATGGCTATTGAGAGAGAGCAGAAAAAGAAGAATATATTAAAAAAAAAAAAAAAAAGCCTGCAGGGTATTTGGGCTTAGTGCACAGTGAAAGCTCCCTTAAAGTGCCCACCTGAGGGACTGGTGAAAACTAGCATTGTCGTGGGGACACTCTGTGAAGGCCATGTGGGATTACATCTGCAGGTTTGCAGAGCAGTTCTACTTGCAGAGATGCATTGGAGAGTATTTCTTTTCGTGGGAGGTGGGAGAGCACTGCACCAAGGGCAGCATCCCTGTTCATTGCCTCTGGGATTGGTGTGCTTGGGCAAAGGGGATGCTGTGCCTGTGGAACACCTTGAAAATACACCAGGAGCAGTCCTGGAAAGTAGCGCCTTGAGAAAGCAAGCAAGCGAAAGGCTTTGGTGCAGTAAGGCCAGAAAGGGGGGAAGTCAGAGCTGTGAAGGTACTTTTAAAGCTCCATTTTCATTACTGCTTACAGTATTGCTGCTAGAGGTAGCTCTAAAGAAAGGCTAACTCCAATGGTTTTTGCAGGTAGGGAATGTAAGAAAAATCTCAACAGCCATTTAATAGTGAGGAAAGTCGCTATTTCTTGTGAAGAAAAGTATGCCATCTTGCTGTGGGCAAAAACCAGAAGTTTTCAAAAGATGGCATTTCTGTAAGTGTTGAAGCCACTCCAAAACTATACAGCAAGGTACATGGGAGCGTTTTGGATTTACCACCAGGGAAGCATGAGGCTGCCAGAGATGAGGGTCTCTGCTCAATGACCTCACTTAATTTACTGCCCATTATTCTTTGATCTCCTTCATTATTGCTCTATAAGCTTTCCTTCTTTCTGAATAAAAATCCCATGCTTTAATTTGTATTTCCTGTGTACACAAATTGGTCTTTTCACAGTCTCATTTAGTTGATACCCATCTAACTTCATAATCCTCTCTGGATTTAGCCTCTGGGTTCATCTCTCCTACAAATGTCACTAATCTGCAACTAATTGCCCTAGCCACATGTGATGGAGTGAGTTAAGTAATGCTGGTCCTA